GTAACAAAATATGAGCAAAGCTTTTAAAGAAATAAAATTGAAGAATGCAAGAAAATAGTTTATGAAAGAAGATAAAATGGAGATTTTAATCTTGTTTTGTCATATTTGAATTGAAGAACTTGATTCTATATATATATTAAAACCAAAAGAATCATGCTACATGTACAACAATGATTGACAATATTGGTTGACAACATTCTATTTGGCATCATCATATCCATTCACCTTAAAATACTATTTCATACATCACATGATAGGATTTTGACAACACATGATTGTCAACCAATGTTGTACACTTAGATTTATTCAAACTACAAACATGATCTGTTTGTCATGGGAATGCATTTTGTTGCCGTGTGTTGCATCTTGCGGTCAAGTCCTTGTTCTATTCACGAAATGTGACTCCACTAAATTCTACGATATGGCCCACAATATCAAAATGACATTTTTCGAAATCTCTCAGACAATCCTCCACCATTTTAATTGTTAGGTATTTAATGTAATTGACAAATCTGTGAACAAAAGGGACTTAAATTGATATGTTGTAAAAGTCAAGGAGTAATATGCAAATAGTATAAAGTTGTGTTATATTAGGTTTAGGGCTCGAGAATGGAAAAGAAGGAAAAATAGCACCGGAATATCGCTAGCTTATCGCCAAGGTTTGGCTCATGTGTCAAAAATAGAAATTGCGTCGCCCACCGGCGCCTCACCTTCGCTCGAGCGACAACTTGTTGCTCGACTGTCGCTCACCCTTCGTTTGAGCGACAATGCTATCCAGGAATTTTTTTAATTCATTTTTTAAAGGCTTTTTGTCCGGCCCATTCATTCCCTAACCTACATATAAATATCTAAACACCACATAACGTTTTTCTAAGGTTGATCATTAAACAAACACTTAGATTTTCATGTTATTTTCATCAATACTCTTCAACCTTCATTAATCACACAGTGATCTGTTCTTGGCGGTGAGAAAAATATCAGATTCATAATCCAAATACCAAACTGCTGCTTCTTTCATATCTGTCAGAGTTTCTGAAAATCAAGGGAAGGTGACTGAAGTTCTAGTCGTTGAAGAACGCGGTGTTCTTCATGTATCCATAGGAAATAGACCATTTCACAAAGTTAGGAGTTGTTGCAGGAGAGCGCAATTGCAGCTGGGAGTTGGTGCATGATCACATAATCCAGGAGAGCTGTTGGGATTACAATCGGAGATCAAATAGTACGTGTCGTCGTCTAGCGGTAGACTGTAAGTTACAAATCGTTTATAGTGGATTGTTAACTGGCAAAGTGTCCGAAATTTTTACCCAATTGGGGTTCTCCGTGATCAATTTTGTGTTATNTGTTGTAAAAGTCAAGGAGTAATATGCAAATAGTATAAAGTTGTGTTATATTAGGTTTAGGGCTCGAGAATGGAAAAGAAAGAAAAACAGCACCGGAATATCGCTAGCTTATCGCCAAGGTTTGGCTCATGTGTCAGAAATAGAAACTGCGTCGCCCACTTGGCGCCTCACCTTCGCTCGAGCGACAACTTGTTGTTCGACTGTCGCTCACCCTTCGCTTGAGCGACAATGCTATCCAGGAATTTTTTTAATTCATTTTTTAAAGACTTTTTGTCCGGCCCATTCATTCCCTAACATACATATAAATATCTAAACACCACAGAACGTTTTTCTAAGGTTGATCATTAAACAAACACTTAGATTTTTATGTTATTTTCATCAATTACTCTTCAACCTTCATTAATCACATAGTGATCTGTTCTTGGCGGTGAGAAAAATATCAGATTCATAATCTAAATACCAAACTGCTGCTTCCTTCATATCTGTCAGAGTTTCTGAAAATCAAGGGAAGGTGACTGAAGTTCTAGTCGTTGAAGAACGCGGTGTTCTTCGTGTATCCATAGGAAATAGACCATTTCACAAAGTTAAGAGTTGTTGCAGGAGAGCGCAATTGCAGCTGGGAGTTGGTGCATGAGCACATAATCCAGGAGAGCTGTTGGGATTACAGTCGGAGATCAAATAGTACGTGTCGTCGTCTAGCGGTAGACTGTAAGTTACAAATCGTTTATAGTGGATTGTTGACTGGCAAAGTGTCCGAAGTTTTTACCCAATTGGGTTTCTCCGTGATCAATTTTGTGTT